CGAACTGCTTGGTTTGCAAAATAACGCAAGGGGGGGCGGGCAGGTAGATGAACAATAAGGGGCCACAAGAGGGGCGGATACATGTAGCTTGCTAACTATGTATGCTAATGATGGCAAATTTTAGCCAATTATGGAGCGATAGATTATCATAGTCAACTGCATATAATGCTTTGGTGTAAGTGTTTTCTTTGTTCTTGCTGACTTATGAGCTCGAACCCAATTGCAATTGAAATAAACGGATCGCCCCTCTCGGGGCTCCTTGCTTGATTAGCTGTGTCCGTCTCTCCTTATTCCTCAGCTGGAACGGACAGGAATTTCTACGACAAAGTGGTTTCCATTCTATACAGGGTTTTTCAGTTTGATTCGATGGCTCTCAGCACCCCCACTATACAGATTGTTTCAGCCCCCCTGCCCTGCCCTGTGGAAGAAAATAATCCCTTTTAAGGCATCTCAAGTTGGGCACCCAAAATCACAGCTCACTTTTGATTTTGGCCAAATGCTTGTGTGTGTGGTTTATATGCATTTCTTTTTCCCCTGGCCCCTCCCCTTCTATTAGTACCACAGTGACATGACTATGGCTTAGAAATAGCACCATGCTCTGGGGAAGTTCCCTGCTGCTCTGCTCGTTCTCTCCCACCATTGCTCTTCTTTGTTTTATTACTTTAAATAGGACCAAATAATGTTCTTCTCTCCTGCTCTTCCTGATGCTGTCATTTAAAGAACAGGCGATTTAATAGTTGTTTTGTCGCAACTCCTAAAGCTGGAACAGGGTCCCACTTCTGACTGCTACTGTAAAGTGATTGATGCTACGGTGCTGAATCTTGGAATTAAAATGGAGGGGTGCCGGCCCATTGTGGCATAAAGTATTTCTTTTTAGGTGTTCAGACAGCATCATAAAATGCTGCTCAATTCAGATATCATATTTTGTCTCAGGCTGGTTCTGAGACAAAACCTAGCCCTGTCTACTGGTGTTTATAGCTTGCCGTATAAGCTTTCAAACAAAAATTGTCTCATTTTATTTGAATTATAGCAGGATAGAATCCTCGGCTTCCCACCAATGCGTCAGAAGATGCACTGACTACCACCACTATAATGAAATCAGGGAAGGGGAGAGACCTACCTTTTAAAGTTCCTGTAAATCAATATTTGAGAGAGAGAAAACATCTGGGTAAAAAGGTGATAAAACTTGCTAGAATGTAAATGCTAGTATATTCAAGCCTCACATCCTTTTCCAATTTCTCTTTAGTTCCTAGAATTGCACCACTGTCTAAATCTCCCCAAGAATCTGGTTTGTCTTGGGAGAAGGCAAAGTTTAACATCTCTGTTGGAAATCAGAGGATACCTTGCTGCTGTATGTCCTTTGCTTATTATCTGTACAGCTGGATAATTTGATGATGAATGAGACTTTGGAAAAGTATTGCCTTCAGATTCAGCTAGATATATCTACAGTTAGTTCATCGAAGGCACTTGTCTGAAATTTGACTTTTCAGCAAAGAAACAAACAACCCTACCCCTCTGCTTTCACAAGAACAAAGTTCGCTTGCAGCTACTGAAAGCTGCAATTTCAGTTCCTGCCATGGCCTGTCTTGCTGTGTCAAGGTACTCTATAAATAGCAGTGCAGTAATGGAGCTGCTAAAACGTTCCTTGGTGACTAGAATAGGCTTTGGAGCTACTGGCCATTTTGAACTTTTTTTTTTAAATTTCCTGCTATAAATAAGACCGGTCAAATCCTGCAGCATGATCATCGAAGAGCTTTCTCGTTAGGCAAAAGTGTGACAGTATTTATACTGTGGTAGTTGGGGCTGGTTCAACCCAAGAAGCACCAACGGGCCCTGAAATGTTTTGTGTTCCCCAATGCTATAGCAATCGTAGGGCTCTACTGTTGCTACTGCTTGATCTCCTGGTGTTTTCGCTGAACCGTCTTATTAGTTGGCTCTGTGGGTTCCCTGTGCCCACCAGACTGTCCTTGGCATTCCTCCCCCACCTTCTGATGGCTGTCTTGCTATCCCACGCCCTGGCATGACCGACAGACAGCTGCAGGTCCTCTCTTAGGCTAGCCAGCACGTAGGCAGCTGCTACACATGAACCCATGTTGCTTCTCCTTGGGTTGGCTGCTTCGCCTTTTCTGCCTGCCTCTCTTGCTCCATCTCACACTACATTAGAACCCCTCCAAGTCCTATCATCTCCCACAGTTGCTTTTGCACCCAGCCTAGCCTATGACTTCTCATAGAAGATTATTTTCTCCAACCACTGCATGCTTCAGGGCGCTCCTCAGCTACCCCTTGGTTCACCCCTGGATGAAGAGAAATGCAGCAGTGATGTGATTAACATGCCTTTTCTCATCCCGAGAGTGACTGACAGTGGAAGAGCTAGACTGTGACCCTGGTTGTGCTCCCCCACAGGGGTTGTCAGGATCTCCTCACTCTCTGGCGTGGGCTTCCCTTCTTGTGCATCATGCCTGGAGCTGGGAGGGGACGTGCTGGTTTTACCATGGGATATAATCTGTTCTGTGTGTACGGTTAGTACAGATCACTTCATCCCAGGAGCAAGGGAGGAACCAGGAACCAGCTTGTGACTCACAATGTCCACACGGCGAGTGGGAGGTGTGATTGCAGCACATGCCGGCATAACTGAGCTCATTAAAAATAGCAACACAGCCATGGCAGCACGAGTATGTACTCAGGGTCCGGGTGGGCTAGCCCGTGCTGTTTCCTGTTATTTTCAGGAGCTAGTTTGATCAAAGCTAGCTTGGGTATGCCGATGTGTGCTACCAGCGCACCTCCCAACTGCAGTGTAGACGTGTCCTCTGAGTCCCAATATGGCTCCAGAGCAGCACAACTTCACTGCCTCTTACTTGGAATTTGTAGCAAAGCCACAATTAAACCCATAGCCTTTATATATACACCTCTACCCTGATATAACGCGACCCGCTATAACACAAATTCGGATATAACGCGGTAAAGCAATGCTCGGGGGTGGGGCTGCACACTCCGGTGGATCAAAGCAAGTTCGATATAACATGGTTTCGCCTATAACGCGGTAAGATTTTTTTGGCTCCCGAGGACAGCGTTTTATCGATGTAGAGGTGTGTGTGTGTGTATGTATGTGTGTGTGTGTGTATATATATATAATATGTGTGTATATAGTGTGTGTGTGTGTGTATTGCAGTCATGGTGGTAGTATCTCAGCTAAACTGTGGGCAGGAGAGGGGATGCTTTTCATGAATATTGTCTTTTGCTAATGCATGTTATGATGTTTTTATACTTTCTTGTACATGCAGGGAAAAAGCAGTTTGGTGACCACATTTAAAAAAAAAAAAGATATTTTATAATAAAATGGGGGAGGGATTTAAATTAGCAATAGGAAAAAAAATCAAGCAATCAAAAATAAATGAGTGGAATTTTAAAAGAGAACAAGAATGGAGCAAGTCAAGGGCGAATAGATGAAGAGATTTGCCTTATAACATATCTTCAAGAAATGTAGTCTTGTTAAATACACAACTTGAAAAGGCAGCTTAAATATTACAGCTTTTATCGGTGCTAAATTTTGGCTGACAGTATCTGAGTCATCTAGCATGTAACAGGTGTAATTGTTGCTGTAGCATTGTGCATCTTCTGTAACCAACAATGACAAACGTTACATTTGCACCCTGAGATTTAGATATAGACTGTAAGTGGTTTGACCTTAGAATCTGTCATTGTTCCCGCTATCTCTTCACATTATGGAACTGCTTTGTATTTAATAAGTTGGATTCTGTTTGTTTTTGGTATGATTCCCAGAGGATCAGCTTTTACTGGGCTTTTGCCATAAAATAAAAAAATGTTAGTTTAGAAGACGTGATTTTTTTTTTTTTTTTTTTTTGTTTTATAGTCAATTTGGACTATACTTCACTATTCATTAGAGATGGGCCCAAACCAAGACCTTGCAATCTGTCTCTCCATTTCCCTCTCTTCTCCCCCCCCCCCCCCCAGGAATGTTTTGTGGTAGAAAAAAATGGAATTAGAGCTGGGTGGAGGATGACAAATCCATTTTCTGACTACTTTCAGGGTTTTGAAAATTTTTCCTTCCTCATTGGAACAAAACCAAACCCTTTAGAAGGTTTTTGTGAAATGGAATTATGTCAAAACATCTGTTTTTTTTTTTTTTTTTTGGATCAAAAAGATCAGGCTTCATCTCTCTGTCTGGGGCCCTCCTGGACCTGAGAGACCGTCCCACTGAAACTCCCTCAAAATTCATAGATATCTGTGGAAATATTTTGATTGCAACAAGTGTTCCATCAAAAGGCTTCAAACCAGTTCTAAATGGAACCCTTGTCTGAACTGCTCCTGTTCATAGTTTGCAAAACCAAATCAGGATTGATGCAGATTTGCAATCCCTAAATGGCCTGATTTTTCCTGTTAGAGATGTTGGTCAAAACATAAAGCTTTTGTTTTATTAACAGCTCATCCCCCAAAGTGTGGTGCTTTAGATTCATTGGAACTAGGGTGACCAGACAGCAAATGTGAAAAATCGGGATGGGGGGTGGTGGGTAATAGGAGCCTATATTAAAAAAAAAAAAAAAGACCCCAAAATTGGGACTGTCCCTATAAAATCGGGACATCTGGTCACCCTAATTGGAACGTGGATCTGCAGAACTCATGGGTTTGATTTGGTTGTGCAAAATGAAAATCCAACCAATAAGGTTTTGTAGAATCCAAAGTAGAACGTGGCCTTAAGTCTGCTACTAGTGCCTGATTCAAAAGCCACTTGACTTCAGTTGGCTTTGGATCAAGGCCTTATGGCAAACTTTATAAGGGGCACTACAGGAACCATGGAATGTTAAGTATTGGCATGTCGGGTCTAATAGTGAGCAATGTTACCTTCACGGTGACAATATGTAAATGCTTTGTAATGGTGACTAACCGTAACGATCTCTAGTAAGTAATTGCTTCTGGGAGGAACTGAAGAAAAATGGCTAAGTAAATAGGAGAATTCTTTTTCTTTTTCCTTTGGTTTGCAGTGGTGGAAAGCCGAGGAGGGGTCCTGGACAGCACACAGAGATTTTCAAACCTGCCGGTATATCTTCCCATGAGCTATCACATCTCCAGTGCTGATGTTTCCTTCTTCCTCAAAGAAGCCAATCAAGATATCATGAGGAACTCCAGTTTGCAGGCGAGGGTGGAGTCATTCTTTATATACAAAGCCAAGCAGCCACCTGTAGTAAATGCAACGTACGGACCTTTTTCAGTAGAACAAGTTGTTCCCGAGGACCTAATGCTGCCTTCTGCTCCTTTTGGTTTCACTAATGAATTCACATTTAACTGGAAATTAAAATCACACATAATCGACAGCTCAATATATTCCAACAGACCTAAAGTGCAAGCCTTGTTCTATATCGCGGGAAAGGACTGGGACGACTATGATTCTGCGGAGAGATTGCCCTGTGTGAAGATGTTTGCTTTCCTGGAGACTAGAGAAGCTGTGGCCAGCTGTAGGTTGAAAGGTCATCTAGGATTATGTGTTGCAGAACTGGAATTAGCGCCGAGCTGGTTCAGCTCGCCTCCACCATTGGTTCTGGAGCATGAGCAAACAGCAGCCTTTTTGGAAGGGATTACTGTGGAGCTCTTCTATAAGATGTATGCAACAGATGGGGAGTGTTCTCCTGAGGATGCAAAATGGGAAAACAACATACATGCCGGTCAAGATCATGCACATGAGGCTTTGCCGCCGGTGGAGAGGATTGGTAGCATCATTGTTTATCCAACTCAAGACAAACTAAAACAATCTGCACTGAGGCTAGATGAGAACATCATGATCCACTTACCACTCAACCCTGTCAAGGAAGGTGACATAGTAACCTTTCATGTGTCCCTTACCGGTGACTCCCTTGCAGATCAGTTTACCTTAAGGTAAGTGTTGTTTTTTTTAAATACTTTATGTATTCAAACAATCTAGCAAACAACAGGGGCTGAGTGCATCCCAGGTATAGATCCATTGATTTCAGTGGGTGTTTGCCTGAGAAAGGACTTCAAGATTTGGCCTACCGCTTGGGAGAAAATTATAAGTGTTCTTTAAGCATCTGTGAGTATAATAGGATTTGGTACCTGGAAGCTGACTTTGAAGTCTGTGCCATTAATATTTGTATGACTTTCTTATAAAATGTGTTATTGATTATGACTAGTTTAACTGACTTTGCTTCTACTCATTATACCTCCTGTAGGCCAGCCAGAATGATTGACTATGGCTGTCCATTTTTTTTTTAGAGAAATATTTATAATTGGCATTTCCCACTGCTTTGATGTAGCTTTAATCCATCTACTTTTATAGAACCTATTATCACAGTATCTGAGCACCTCCGAAGTATTTATTTCTTGCTCCTCACAACACTCCTACAGGGTAGGGAAATGTTATCCCCATATTTTTTTACAGATGGTGAACTGAGACACAGAGATTAAGAGTTTGTTCACACTGCCCTGCAGTTCAGATTACGGGGGTGTGAAGAGTGGTGCACACCAAAGTGTTGCGTTGTAAATCCTTGCAGATGCTGTGGGCCTGAATTAAAAGGTTCCTAGTTTGCATTATCGTAGTCTACAGTCCTTTTAGTTTGTGCCTATAGCATCCGCTAGGGGGAGTTACAGTGCAGCACTTTGGTATGCAGTGTTATTTACATCCCCTGTAGTCTGAACTGCCCGGCAGTGTAGACTTGCCCAAGGTCACGCTGGAAATGCGTGGCAGAGCCAGGATTTGGAACCAGATTGTCTGAGTCCCAATTCAGTGTTTTAACAACAAGACCAACCATCCTTCCTCCCCTTAGTAGTAGTTTATTTATTTTCAAGCTTACATGATTGCTTGCTTGTGGCATGGCACGTTTCCATTGAACAGCAAAGGAGAAAACTGGAAAAAATGAACCCACCAAAAATATGTTTTTCTTTGTCCACCTCTCAAAATTGGAATCCGCTTCCTTGTTCTTGAATAGAAATGATTGGAAAACAGAAAATCTTTCTGTGAACATTTTAGTGGCAACTTCCCCCCCCCCCCATTTTTGGGGGGGTGAAACGTTGTAATTCTTGAAATTTTCCAACCAGTTTTATTAGTGAATTTCAGTTTTATCTGAGAACTGTTGAGTTGCATAGACCTGATTTCAGGCATTCTTAACCAGCATGAGGGTTAGTGCTGTGTATTTATTGCTATGCCTTTAACTGTTAGTGTTGGTTAAGAGCTACACATAGACACAGCTCAGAGAAATAGGAGCCAGACTTGAGGGCTAGAAAGGCCAAGAGGTAATTGGAAAGTGTCATACTGAGAGAGTGTTAAACACTAGGGAAAAGAGGAGTTGCAATACACACGGGCAACTTAGACACATTTTTACTCCTCACTTTTAAGTCTAAAAAGGCGCGGGTGCTAGGTGACAGAAGCATACTATCCGTGACAAAGATGCAAAGTGAATGAATAACAAACCTTATGCCAGCACCTTTCTTCTTCAAAGCACTTTGTCACGCTGTCTGCATTAGCTCACGACTGTGAGTGCCTACCTCAAGGCAGACTGTCAAAAACAAGGCAGACACCCAAACTGATGGTGTGTTCTATCATTTATATTTCACCAAGCCAGTAACACATGTGAACTTCTGGGTCACTATAACACTCTTCCCATGGAGTCACAGACAATCCCCTTAGACTCTCCAGCCTATCTTGCCACCCAGACACTAGACTTAGTGATAAATGGTTGCTTACACCAAAAATCACACCATATTCAGGTTGCTTCCAGTCCCAAGAGACTTACCCCAGATCAATTGGCACCCTAGATCTTACATTGAAGATAATGCCTGTATCCAATCCTGTAAAAAACTATCTAAAGGTTTATTGAACTAGGAAAAAGAAATGAGTTATTTACAGATTAAAGCAAGTGAACATATTCTCACCAAATGAGTTCTCTAAATCCTCTGAGTCACAGAGTTGTAGTGATCTGCCAATTCAAAGTGTCTTTCAGGGCGGACTCAGGAGATAACCCCTGAGGATCTCTGGCTTCAATTTGGTGTCTCTAGTTCTGTCAGAGTTCCACCAGCAAAGAGATGGAAAATTTTCCTGTGACTTTTTGTTTTATTTCCTTCATTCAGCTTCCAAGCCCGAAGGATGAGCTTCCTTGCATGTAGCATTTCCAAGGTGTGATAGGGCCATTAACCAATCCTTTGTATTGCAATGTTCCTTGATGGCCCTTCACGGGGGTAGGGGATAAAGGGGGAGAGGACAATTCCCACATCTGGGTTTGCAAGGTCAGACCAAACATTTTCAAAGTTATAAAGCAAAACTTACATATTATCTTATGGCCTGGAATACTAACATTACAAGCGAGATTAATGCATGCAGTGACTTATGAGCAATTCATAGAGTCTAAATGCTAAATATATTCTTATAAAACTAATACCTAACAAACAGGTGGACTGGCCCGGTCTCCAGCTACGAGTTTTAGTTCTTAGCTCGTGTCTGCAGTCTTGGCAAGAGCTGGCACCTGGTGTGCCAGCATCACACACTTTACAAACATGAATTAAACATTTAAACATAATGTAACATCCATATTATTATGAAACATGGATATTGCAGTCAGAATTAGTCAGTGCCTATTGTACAAACACAGTGAGTGACTGTCCCCATGTTGCTAGGGTAAAAATGTCTAATAGATATACATTCTCATGCTTCAGGGCCTACAACAACCCTTATGCTTATGGTCAGGAAGAAACTTCCCATAAGAGCAAGTTATTCTGCAATTGTTCAGTTTTGGGTTTCTTGCATCTTCCTCTGATGCATACAGTACTGGTTAATCACCAGTGATGGAGACAGGATACTGGACTAGATGGACCAATGTCATGATGTTGGATGGCAGTTTCTATGTTTCCATGAATCTGCTCAAACCATGGGAGATATGAAGGAGCTGAATCAAAGAGATTTAAGTAATTTGCCCAAGATTGCAGTGGGAGTCCATGTTAGCACTGAGATTCTTGGATCTCAGTTTGGTATTCAGCCTAGAAGACCAAAGTGGAAACTCCCCAAGGAATTAGATACTTTTTTCACATCTTAGCTCATACTCAAAATCTTGTCTGGCAAGTCATTTCTTTCATTGTGTTTGTAAGTCAAAGAAACAGTGGGTGCTTTATTTCAGGAAGCTAAATGCTAAAGGTAAGAATAAGAATGCAGATCTGTTACCTGCTCACTGATGCTGCTGGGTGGAAAGAGCAGAGGCAGTTGTTGCTCTGAGTGTTTCAAATGACATTCACTCTTTGCCTATGGAGAATTTATTCAACTAAAGTTTACACAGTTAGCAGGGAATTATGCTGAGGGAAATAAAATCACTATAGCTCCTACATCTAATTTATAGCAGTTTTCCTCTGTAGGCTCTCCCTGTTTTTCAGACCATTAGTAATGTCCATAAAAACCCAGAAGGTTATTATACCTAGAGTTTCTGTGTGTTTTCACCAGAGAAAAATATATTGAAGTGAATATGTTTGCCTTGGGGAAATATGTTTTTGCCCAGTATAACCGATTGTTTTAAATCGTGTCTGTTACAAGTGGAGTGTAATGTATTCCATTCTGGCTCATATGAGACTATAGATCAAAATCAAATCATTCTTAAGATTTTCACTGTGATGCAAACTTCATTGATATGACTGTATGCAAACAGAATGGATGTGTGCAATTTTATGTGCCTCTTTAGTATTTCATACACTGTTGTGCAGTGTTTTATTTTGTGCTGAATTTTGTACTAGTAAATACTGAATTTCAGTCCATAAAAAGAATCCAATTCTGCCTTTTTGGGTGAAATATTGGGATCTTAACCTAGCTCTCAAATTACAAAGCTTAACGGCTTCTTGGCAAATGGTGAGGAAAACAAATAGTAATTTGGTGATGGACACTGTTGGTTTTTTTGCAACAGTATCAAGAAAGTGGTTCAGGGAATGTATCTGTATTAGAAAGCACTCAAAATATATCCGTTATACCGAAACAGAATGTTAACCAATTCCAACCTGGAAAACTCAAACCTTTATTACCTTGCAAATGGCACCTAAATCTCTGTTGACGTTGTAGACTCAAGTTGCCAACCCAAGCTCCTTTATCGGCATGTACAAATTTTACGTTTTCCAATGAACATGAACCATTAAGAAGTCACTGTTTGAAAGCTGGTCTCTGTGTGTCCAACAGCAATTTCTTTTCCACACAGATCGCTCCTGGAACAACTTTTTAACCCCTCTCCCATTTATTAATGCTAGCCCCCATCTTGAGTGGGATGCAACTGGAAAGTGAGCCGGAGAGACACAACATACTGCTTTCAATCATTCACCAGTTAAATATATTTTTGTTCTTTTTTTTTTATGTTACGGATGCTATGTCTGAGTAATAGGAATAACTTATGGCTTTGTAATAGTCCCTTAATAAACAGAATTTAAGATTGATTAAAGGCTTTGACCATTAATCAGTCTCCGCAGACATTTATTGCTTTGTATACTGCAAAGCAGACTATGGAGGTTATGTCTGACTTGAAAGACAGACAGATAGACAGACTCACATCCACACAAACTGCCAGAGTTGTTTGAACCCCAGAAAGCATAGAACTTTGGAAGTTAGGCTCGAACGCCATCCGTTAGCCCATTGCCTTGGGTTCTGTAGCAAGTTCCCTATGCAAAATGTTGCTGGCGTTGTGCCTGTTCCGTAGTGGTGACGTGGGCTTGTTCCATATCATTGGTGAGGGCCTCCTCAGCGATGCACAATTGCATGTGATTCAGCTGCTGCAAAACTTCTATGTAGGAATAACTTTTAAATCAAGATTGAATTTGTTTTAAAAGGGATGCTGTAGTTCAAACGGGGATTATTTGGGGGTAAATTCTGTGACCTATATTATACAGGCGGTCGGACTAGATGA